ACGGAATCCATCATCAGCATGATTCCTCACATTCACATTGGCCGGAGGATTCTGCCCAATTGCCCCCGCTAATCTCGTCAATGCCTCCGCAATCGCTTTGTCGTTCCTTCCTGCAACCATCTTACTAATTCCAACAACAGAACTACATAAGAACAACCAATATTTATAATGCATCACACGCATATCAATAACACACAGGGAAAAACACTCTAACAACTTGGCCGGACGGACCGACCTGCTCTGATACCACTATTGTAACACCCCCTTCTATACCCCAAATAAATGCATATAAAACAATTAAGCACATACAATTTATCAGAGTAAAAAGGTTTTATAATAAGGTATAAAAGAAGAATGCCACAATTTCACCAATAAAACACTTTAACATTTTGCTCCACAAAACATGTAACATTTTCGTAGTTTTAGAAATCACATTTCAACATTTAACTTAAGCGGAAGATAACATCATTTAATCAGTTCCAAAATATTAATTCAAATGCACATAAGTCATCCAGATTAATACATCATATCAGTTAGATTACAAAACCACATCAGCTGATACATCGCAATGTATCACAAAAGAATGACTATACTAGTCTAACTACCCGGTGTTACATATCAGAGCAGCCGACTCAAAAGAATGAAGACTAACTTCACAAAAGGACTCCAGCATCCTAATCTGCAATGCCTCATAGAGCATTATAAAACAGCAGAAGGGTGAGAAATATAACCATAATAATCAAAGCATAAGATTATATGTATATATAGGTAGTCATATAACACATATTCACATTTCTCACCACACTTCATTCTCTTAGTCATATATATTTACCACACATATATAGACAAACATGGATATTCACAAGCATTCCCACATTATGCATACACTTACAATTTCCACAATCTCATCATTCACATATAAGCATCTCTTCATGCATATGTCATATATCAATGTGACTCAACAACTCAATGCAACTCATGCAATGCGGTACCGACTCTCGTTATCTTTTTTCGGTTTTTACATTAAATCGGGTCCACTCTTCTAGACCGATAACCCGTTATCATTTTTCGGTTTTTACATTAAACCGGGTCCACTCTTCTAGACCGATAACCACAAAGGCCCGTCCTCTAAGCCTTCAAACCCACTCTTCTAGGTTTGGGACAAGCCACTAGTTTCCATGAAACTAACAGACATTGCCTCTTGATTAAATGATGCATGTACAATCATCCACAACAAATGCACTTAAGACCGACATCTTAATCTCATGCATTCAAATAATTCATCTCTTCAAGAATTACATTATGATTGCACACACAACATATTCACATAACATTCATCGATGTATTCATAATTCAATAATATCACCACATTAACACACAATGCACACATATCCGCGATATGTTCTCATGCATTATCCACATATATATTCACAATTCAATACAACATCATATTTAGCAAGCAATGCACGCATATCCATCATTATGCTCTCATGCATTCTTCATGTATTTTAACATACAATCCCATATAAACAATATGCATCCACAACACATTTTTCATAGTATGTTTATTCTTTATCTCATGCCATCTCATACAAGGTATACACATCACAATACCAATCATACAATTATAAGTTATGCACACATATCCACCATGTTCTCATGCATACTCATCACATAATTGTATACACATCAAGCATTCGCAAGTTCATTAGACAATACACATACATTCATCATTGTATTCACATGTATTTCTATTTATCATAATTAATACGCATCGCGCATCAACTAGAATTCACGCCCGTAGGCTACCCACAGCACACATCATCACAATAGATCATATCTATATCATATCATAGAGGCATTCCCCTATGAGAAGCAACCAAACCATCTCCACATGAACAACACAGCAAAAGAAAAATGCTGTCACATTCGCCTTCATTCGCCTGGCGAACCCTCGCAGCGAGCCTTCGCCTGGCCTTCGCCTGGCGAACTCTCTCAGCGAACACTCGCTAGGCTTCGCCTGGCGAGACTTCCCAGCGAGCCCAAGTCAGGAGCTACTGACTTCATTCGCTACCATTCGCCAGCACCTTCGCTGGGCGAACATTCGCTATCCAACTTCGCCTGGCGAACGCGCCAGCGAAGTCCACTGGGACTTAAACTTAATTATTCGTCAGCATTCGCTGGGCTTCGCCTGGCGAAGCTTCGCCTTCGCTCGCCTGGCGAGAGCCAGCGAACCTGCGCAGAACAGAACCCTATTCTGCCTCTCCTTCATTAATCCATCATCAACCAAACCTCAAACACCCAAATCAGTACAAATAGCATCAATACATGTTACCCGACTATTCTACGGCATTATTGCTCAGTTTCAACCGATTAAATCCTCAATCTACCGATTAATCCAACATTTTCCCTAATTGGAAAGTGATGAAAACTCTACCAAAACCCCAACCCAACATACATAACATCATGCAATGATCAAATAGAAACATTTCTCACCCTTACCTCGATTTAATCGGAGCCTTGATGTTGGTTCTTGATGATTTCCACTTTTCCTCTTCTTCTCTTCTCTTTCTCTCCTTTCTTCTTCTTTCCTCTTTCTTTCCAAATGTTTTTTATCTTTCTTTTCTTTTCTTTCTCTCTTATATATTTCCTTCATTTTCCTTCCTCTCCAATTCCTTCTTAATTTTCTATCCATACCAATTAATAAAAATTAATTCCAACATTAATAAAACCCCACTAAATCAATTAATTACTATAATTAATTATTTAATGAAATTTGGGTTGTTACATAAAGCATTATCTCATTAAATGCTAAGTGAAATCGACTATACCGGGTCAAATGTGTATTAAGTGTTAGATAGAACTACAAATTAGAGAAGTATGAAGTAGGGATGGCAGTACAAATTAGAGAAGTATGAAATAAGGATGGCAAAACAAATTTGATCTGCCAGATATTTCTATTTTGCCCATATTTTTTTACACAAAGAATCAAGCTTTTTTTTACACAAAGAATCTAAATTTTAAACTTGCACACTCTAATATGTTAGTACTGCCTCAATTTTTTTCTAATTTTTACAAGCGCGAACATTAACAAATTTTACAAATTTAAGCCTTTATAAGTGCGAGATTGCATGTCCACCCACCCTCGTTTTTTTTTCTTCCACAATAGACCATTATTCACACAACTTCATCTATATCCAGCCATGTGCACCCGACCATCGGTTTTCTTTTCTTTTTTAGTATATACCAATCTTTTATTCACACCCCTTCAATTAGAGGTGGCAATTGAATTCATTAAACCAAAATTCATCTAATTCATCTATCAAAAAATTCATTCAATCCATCCACCATACAAAAAGTAAGTTAATGAATTGAATTAAATTCATTCATTTATATACATGGATTAATTCAATTCATCCAACATATTTTAATGATCCAATAGATTATTTTTATTTTCGTTATATTAATTTTTTTTAAAATAATTAAAAATGGATTGTTTTAAAGAAAAGAATTATTTTTTTCTCTAAAAGAGACGAGTTTTTTTTCCAAAATAAAAAGTCGATTTTTTTTCGTAAAAAAAAACAATTTTTTTCCAAAATAAAAAACCGATTTTTTCGAAAAAATAAACCGATTTTTTTCCGAAAAAAGAAACTGATTTTCTTCTCCAAAAAAATGATTTTTTTTAGGAAAAAAAAAACAATTTTTTTTAAAAATTAGAATATCATTTTTTTGAAAAATACAAAAAATTCAAATTTTTTCAATAAAAATTGATTTTTTTCAAAAATTAAAATATTAATTTTTTTTTAACAAAAAATTCATTTTTTTTCATGAATATATTAAAAAGAAAATTTTAAATACAAAAAATAAAATAAAAAAATATGTTTGCGTTTTCAAAATAAAAAAAATTGAATGAATATCCATCCATTAAAAATATATTAATGGATGAATTAAATAAATTTTATTCTTAATGGATGGATTGAATTTGATGATTTTAAAAAAAAATTAATAAATTGTTAATAAACTAATACATCTTTTTAATCCATCCATAACAATCTATTCCATATCTTACCACCCCCAATCTTTTTTGGCTAGCATTTGCATACATGCCTAAATAGCAGGGACATTCCCCTTTTATCATCCTACATAACATTTATTCAAATTTAGGAGAGACCTATATAATTTGAAGTCCATTTTCGGTTGACCAAAAATAGTTTTAGGAAACTGTGACAACACACTAGGAAAAGAAGAAACTCCTTGGACGAAATGTCTAAGGAAAAGTGGTTAGAAAACGCCTCTTTTTCTCTCAACTTTAGACTATAATACAAAGGAAAAGAAACAAAATATACATGGCCTTACTTTACAGGACAATAGTTGGTGAACTTATTGAACTTATAATGAAATTTTGAGGGATAAGCACTTTTAGTTCCAGCTGCAAACAGTCCTAACACAGTTGCAGAAACCTCAAAATCCTTGTTGCAGCCGCACATTGCAATTATCAATAGCTAAATTCAAGAACAAAAGCTCAAATTCAAACATATTAAAAAAAAAGCTTCACTGTCAACTATCAAGGAGTTCACATTGAAAAGAGTTTATTCATAAGTACCATGCGGTACACTAGATAAACCGGGAAACACAGCTCCTTTAGAGCTCCACTAGAGTCCTAAGTACAATTTGTGCTCTACTATAATCTGTACAAGCCTCTAACTCCAGCACCATCGATCTATAACTTAAAGAGTGCGATAAAACAAGGGTGGAACAATGTGTTTTTCGGTTTGTAAAACGCTAGAAGGGATGTTTCATATAGCATCATCGCAAGGCAACTAACTCCCAACAAGCTAAATATATAGGAATTTTTGGCTTTGCAAAAGCCATGTTTGGAATCATAATGAAGAGATACGCTGTTGTAGTTTTTGCTCACGAGTCATGCATTCAAATCTCATCAAAAGATCTTATGATCAACAGAGGCAAGAAAAAACAATTGCAATCATTTGTATTTTCTCTCAAGCCTTGTGAAGTCCGCGAGTTGAAACTCCGTGCAGGAGTCTGACAAACCCTAAGAAACTAAGCTTTCCGTCGAAGTGTCTTATCCAATCTTGGAGTACTGTATGAATAGGTACTGAGGGGCCAAGTCCAAGTTCCTGAAATAAATTAAGTTACAAAAGCTTAGTAAAAATTATACTAATGCAGTGGAAGCATAAGGCTATTGCGTAAGAGTACCGAGGCAAGCTCTTCGATCATAATTGGTCTATTCCCATCCTTCTCAAAAATATCGTAGGCACGCCTTGCATGTCGCTCCCAAGCTTCCATTCCCTCCAGTTGATGGACACTTATAGCCGCAGCACAAAATTCCTCAAAATCTAATTTTCGATATTGGATTGAGCTAACCTGCAACATGTGTAAAGTAACAATTAGCTTCCCATGGAAGCAACTACGGTAGAAATTTGAAATGAAAACTTAAAATCCTTCATAAACTTACCATGTTCACATAATCTAAGACCCGCGAATCCTTCGAGGCATCAGTGGCGCTCCTTAAAATAGCCTGCTAATTTAAAAATTAATGGCTTGATAGTTATTTGGAAAAAGGTCGAAGAACTTTTGACATGTACTGACCGTCTTGAAGTTCTGCATAGAGATGAGCCCACTTTTGTTTGGCCCTAAAATAGTAAATTGTTCTTTGAGATACGCTAGCTGCACTAATGTCAATGTCTTCGCAATAGCCTGCAAAAATGAACCAAACTTCAATACATATTATTACCGAAAAAATTGCTAAATGCGTCAAATATGTGACACATGTTAAGCATAATCAACAATTTGAGCAAAATCAAGAAACAAATTTAACAATTAGTTTCATAAACAATGACAGTACATACCCCTAATGCTGATTTGCGTAGAGAAGATGAGCCTATGTAAGCTTTGATGTTCTTGTGGATTACCATATCAAACGGAATCTTTCTATCCTCTAAGTGATTTACCAGCCATGGATGACCTAAGCATAAAATCAAGCTAAAATCAAGAAAGTTCATCGGATTATAAGATGAGAATTTTAATACCACAACAATCAATGGAAAAGAGAACACATACTGAGAGCCTGAGATGCCGTTAATCTTTTACGAAAATCTTTATTCAGCAACCTCTTTACAAAATCTTTTGCATCAGCCGATAAAGAAGGCCAAGGAGCTTCGTCAAAACTTGGATCTGCCTTAAGTACAGTCCGAAATATGCCAGATTCTGTCCTGGCCCAAAAAGGTCGACTTCCGCATAACAGGATATAAGCAATTACACCAATGCTCCACATATCTGCTTCTGTTCCATAAGATCTATGCAAAACTTCAGGGGCAACATAATATGCACTTCCAACAATATCATTCAATCTCTCATCTGCAAAACTGCTCATTGTTATCACTTGTGTTTAATTTTATGTCAAAAAATCAGATGGGGAATAGTGTAGGCAATAGGCTAGACCTGGCTTTACATAGTCAGAGAGTCCAAAGTCAATTGCCTTCAGTGTCGAATTTTCATCCTCGGAACTAAAAAGGAAATTCTGTAGCAGAAAACCAATCTTTTTTATCAAGAGCAAAACAATACAGTATGACAAGATGATAGAGTACATGGTTCTAAGTAAAAAGTAGTCGAGTCGCAACATCAATTGATTTATGAATTTGCTTTGTCATTTCAATTTGAAGCGTAACAATAAACTCAAATTGCATGCATTCACTCAGTAACTTGTTGATATTAAACATAAAGTGATGATACAAAATAAATGAAAGTCCAAACTTAATGAAAAAACCATTAGGAGTATCACCAAAAGAGTAATAACAAGATTCCAAACAAGTTAGAAGAAGCTCATGCTGATTAAATCAGTATTGTCGATGATCACAGATAGCATTCCATCCATGGCGGAGAGCCAAAATCCCAATATACCAGCAGCTTTGTGGCGCCATCATAGCGGATGATGGCGGAAAAAACCGCAATATCCGACTATATTTACCATTGCGGCAACACCAAAAGCCACCATGGCACCAGCATGGTCGTTATTCAATAACATTTAATCAAATCATCTAAGTTTATATGGTTTGTAAAAAAATATATCTGAAAATAACGTCATTATTTCTAAGTAAACCCAAAAGCAAAAAAAAAGAATACCAGATCTTTTTTTTCCAGCTAAGCATTGATCAGCTTAATGAACTAACTCATTGCACTGACATGTGTGTGGGAACACAGGTCTTTGAAAGAAAAAGCGCAAAACCAGTAAAAGAAAACAGACTGTGGTTTTGTGCAAGCGATGGGAGAGTGAGCGACACATGGTAATCAAATGGAAAGAATGTGAGCTTTGCCAAGTTTACTGCAAACAGTTAATTTCTTAGTATGAATAGATTACCTCTGGCTTGAGATCACGGTGGACAACACCCTGTAGATGACAGTAAGCTACTACACTTAATATCTGAATCAAAACAACTCTAGCATCCTCTTCTGAGTACTTTCCACCCCTACAAATCAGAATCAAATATGAGCTGATCAGAATGTTTGCAATGACAGCAATGGTAAAATAATGAAACCAGATAATCTCCTTTTAGTTAGTTCCAACTTTGTGGCGCGGAAAAATAAAAGTTGGAGAATTTTGTTACCTGGAAAGAATCTTATCTAGCAATTCACCTCCTTTGCATAATCTGTATAGCATAAGATATAGTAGCAGATTAGCTCTGAATTTATTGACTCAATTAACAACTTTCATTTTTCTGCTTAATTAATATGATATCTCCAAACAATCAATATTACAATATATATCTTTGGAACTATACTCTAGATATAAGGAAAGTTGTTAACTTTAATAAAAAATAACACTTGTTACACGTGGGATTATATTACTAAATCTAAGTTCGTCTTTGGTTACGTGCCACATCGACATTTCACGTGTTTCGATGCAATATGAACGTGACTTTACTGAAGCAACAAATCAAAGCTTCGATCAAACTCACAGTTGCATAGTGACTTTATACACGCACGAACTTTTCAGCAGCATTGAATCATGAAGGTAACAAGTAAAGTCGTGACGAAAAATATATGAGTAATAAGAACTTACTCCATAACTACATAAACATTTTCATCGTCTTCATAGGCTTCATAGAATTGTACCAGATTCTTATGACCAGTCAAAGCTCGCAATATCTTCACTTCTCTTCTTACATCCTCTATCGCAATCGCTGTCGTCATCTGCCAAACATTGCCAAAATTCATAAGAACAAATAACACATAGCTGATTTAATAATTAACAGCCAAAGATGACATTGATCACAACAATAACTTCTCATAAGACTGTAATGTAAACAAATCCATGAAAAGTACTTCCTTGAAAAGAATTCACGTAATCTATCGAAAAATACCACAATTGCATATATCTATCCACAGTTTCATGATTTTTCCAAGTAAAATCCAAAAAGCTTGATTCTCCACATTTAACACAAGGCATGAAATACACACAAACATTTCTACCCTAATAATCATCAACAGCTCTATTTGAAGAGACATAAAACCTAATCACAGCAAAGTCATTCCAACAAAAAATTACAAAACTACTTTCTTCTAATCATGGTTTTAAATTGCGGTCCGCAATATTGCTTAAGTGGTAACCTCCGCAACCGCATCAGACCACAAAAATCACATGTCTGCCTTCATTAGGAACTCCATCAGACAATTTCGTCCTTTTTTCTTCAAGTATTTTCATCAAAACGCATCGCCGCAAACGCAATTTAAAACCATGCTTCCAATAACCAAAATCCACATGATTGAATTAACGAAAAATCTAAAAATTGCATCTTTTAGTACTTCAACATCAAGATTTCATAAAAATACACAGATCAGAAATCATACATGTAACAAACATATAACCTAATTATAAAAAAATAAAAATAAAAAGAAAAGAAAAACAAAAATGATGAAAATAGACCTTAGATTTAGGAATGACTTTAACAGCAACATCAAGACCCTTAAAGCTTCCTTTTTTACCCTTAGCATAACAAGTATACCCAAAATGTCCACGCCCCACTTCTTGACCAATCTCAAAATTACTCCCAAACTGCTTGGAAAATCCAAAACTCTTATCCAACCCAACTTCACACTCACTCCCTTCCGGTATCGTAGCCTCATTAGGCTTCACAGAGCCATGTCTTTTAGCAAGCAGAGCCCGAATGTGCTTGGCCGGAGACGGAGGAGGAAAAGGCCGCTTAAAGATCCGAAGCGGAGTCGAACTGACACTCGAATTCGAATTGGAAGTAGAATTTGCCGGCGAGTGTTTGAAGAAACTGGGTAACGGACTAGGACTGAAAAAGGGAAACTTTGAGGATGATTTAGTGGATGCATGATGAATTGAGGTTGCTAGAGGTGGTGGCGGTGGAAGTTGAAGAATCTCATCGTTTGCGGAGGTTGAAATTTGTCGTTCTTCAACGGGTTTTCCATGACAGAGTCCCATAGAAGAAGAAAAAGACGAGATTTTAGAGATGAATTGAAGGTGAAGAAATAAAGAAAAAGAACTTTTTTAGGTATAATATAAGAAGAAGAAACTGAATTGAAGAAATAGTGAGAGGAATGAGAAGGAGTGAGAAGAGAGAAAAAGGATGGGAAAGTGAGGGAAAGATGCTTGTGTTGTGTATGAGAGAAAAAGAAAAGAAAAGAAAAGAAAAGAAAAGAATAGAATCACTCTTTGCTTTATTCTACTTTTTGTAAGAGATTAGTTTTTTCTTTTAAGTAATAGTAATTTTTGAGTTATAAGTAGAGATTGTTTTTGAGTACAGAAAAAGACTTTATTGAAGAGGGGTAATGTTGGTTTCTTCTCTAACAATAATAGTGAGTAGGGTTGGTTTTGGATACTTCCAGCCTGTCCTTATTGTCATCCTGGAAATGTAAATTAAAAGGGTATTGTTCAAAGGAATGTATACTACCTATTTTAATATAATATAAATAAATTGTGATATTTATTAATAAAAAAAAAATGGATAGAGTATTAATTTTTTATTAGAAATGAGTATTTAGAGTGTGTAGTATTTTTGTATTCAAGTCTTGTAGAAGAGTTTGACCCTCTTTTCTTTTGCTAAGCTTTAAGATGTTGTCTTTTTGTGGTTTGTATTTTGTGTTTTTTAGTTTTTTCATGGTGGGACAGTTTATTTTAGCCAATAAGTGAGTTGAGATCTGAGAAATGGAAATTAAAGATGAAAACATTGTGACAAGAATTAGGTGATCTGTCTTTGATTGTAAAATAAAATGCATTCATGTGTCAGAGACAGATTGTATACTTTTGAGTATGAGAAATTTTATAATTGTTGGATTATTTCTTATATTGAAGATTGCTATGTAAGAAACAACAAATGGAATGTTCTAAATACAGAATGAGATTTGCCAGAAAACTAGTGGCTATTCACAATAATAATTATTATTGTTATAGAGCAAGACAACCGACATTTCTTTTGGGTTATCATAAAATGAGAAAGTGGGCTGTAACAAAGTTTCTGGATTATTTTATGGGTTAATAAATAATATTTTTGTTACTACTAATTTATTAATTAGGTAATATAAAATGCTTCTCATTCCTAATTATTTATCTGCTAACTAATACTAACCTTAACTATTAAATTAAGACAACAATGACTATAAGAGAAAGAAAGTAGCAAAGGGGAATTATTTAACGAACAGTGGTTATTTTTAAACAATATAATAGAATATAGGTGGTGTTTGACGTCAACACTTTTTTTAATAATCAATCGAAATTCACACAAATATGAATATTTGGTTTCAAATCTTAGTTAAATTATGATTTACCAACCAAATAATCACTTTTAAATATGTTTAGTATATTAAATCAAAATACATTTACTAAAGGATCACAATCCTATTAGAGTCAATTCATATTATTGAGTAATAAATCAATTTAATTTTTTTTAATTCATCCCATCCAATAAAAAATAATTGATTTTTTAAAAAAATTATTAAAGAATTACTCATTTGATTTAATTCAATCTGATTTATATTTTAGAAGAAAAAAATATGTTAACGAGTAACTCAAATACAGTCTTTAAATGATTAAATAAATAAAGTTAATTATAAAAATTGTGATCTTATTAGATCAATAGGCAGCAACACGTCGTGAGGTCTAAGTTCGTTAGTGGTGGAAAAGAGGAGATGGTGTACCTGAAAGATACTCTGATGGTTAAGTAAGAAATGAATCAACAAGAGAGTAAGTACAGAAAAAGTGGATATGAGTTAGAATATCTGACCCTCCTGTGGATGAGGGTATTTATAACGTGCCCTTAGCGTTGGGCCAACAGTCGTCTGCTTTGGGCTGGATTGTAAGACCCAAAACAAATGACTGTCAGGATCCTACGTGGCGGTAGGGAAGACCCGTGGGTGGTCTTCGTTCTGGATCAACTACCCCACAAACTCCGGGGAGTGGAAGACCAGCTCTTTCAGACGTGGGTAATTAGCTGGTGACGTGTTCCCGCGTGTGGAGCACGTGGAGAGCATGCACGGTGCGTGGCCTCCAACGACTATGCAAGCTTGGGATTTTGTGTCGGGCCCTCCCTGACGCAATGTTGGGTTAGGTTGTGCCCGATTGCGGGCCAGCCATAGGCCCAGTCCAGAACATGAGCCCCCCAAGTCGTTGTTCCTCTGTCGAATAGCAATAACTTAAAACTATACAGTATGTCGGGGATGAAGGAGACTCTGCGCGGAGAGCGATCATACCTGCTTGTAGTTGCGAGCTTATGTTTGATGTGACGACATAGTCATGGGCATTTGTCTGTCGGGCAGACACGTCAATCAAGAGTTGGCTTGTGCTCGCGAGTTTGTCTCGATTTTCTTCGAGGACATGCTCGCGAGAGATTCGCCTGAAGTTGACGTTTGTACCCGACGATGCGACTTCTTTCAAAGTTTTTTGAGGTAGTGCCCGCGAATGGAACGTGAGGGGGTCGACGTGTTTGTTCGACTTCTTAGGATACGTAAGGCTGGACCTTGGGAATCGCAAAATGTCTAATCTCCCACATGCTACGTGTGGTGGCTATTAAATGTGCCATTATAGCCTACCCTAGCATAGGTTTAGAGCAATGATGGCTATGGGTGGTTGCACATTTCTCCGCGTGTTGAGAACGCTTATAAATAGGAAAGTGGAAGAAGAGTTTGAACACTTTCAACTTCCACTCTCAGTGTTCAAACTTACACGAATTCTTCAAGTCTTTTTGCTCTCTTCATTCCTTGTTCGTCACCGCCTTCGCTGCTGCCGGTTCCTTTCACGCCATCGAATCTTTCCAAAACCTTCCATAAACACGTAAATTCCCTTCGTATTTATAGCTAGCATGGTAGGGTTGGTTCCGAATGCTCGAGGACTTCACAATGAAGTTACGTGTTTTCTGGTGATTTTTAAGAGTTATCTGGCCGCGTTCTTGAACTTCCAACGACCTTCATGAGGTTCCGATGAAGTTTTTGGGGAAATCATGAAGTTTCCTATGAGTTTTCTGGGAAACTCATGAAGATTTCGGGGAATTCATGAAGTTTCTGATGAATATTCCTGGAACTTCATGAAGATTTCGAGAACTTCGTGAAGATTTTGGGGAACTCATGAAGTTTCCGATGAAGATTACGGGGAGCTCATGTGGCTTTTGTGTCCCCTCCAGGTTCAACGTCGGGGAAAATTGTCTCTTCATCGGGGACATTCTGAGAAAGTCTTTCGTCTAGAATACCTCTTCCGCTTGGTTCTGATTAGTAACCTAAGTGTCGAGGAATCTACTCCTCACGGAGAGGTGGTCGCGTGTCTCGTGTCGAGGAGGGATCCCACGTGCTCGTTGACAAGGGATTTAGTCGGGGACGTCTCCTCGAGTTTTTCCTCGCCCTTACACTTGACATACGGTGGAAGGGTGGATTTGATCTTAACGTGGAATTCAATGTTTTCCTCTGCTTTTCAGGTTAAATGGACCTAAAGCCCGAGGTCGTTGTTACGGTCGACAAGACCGTCGAAGTTGACTTGGTTGATGCAAACGCCAAAATGGACTTAGTCGACATAGACGCTGAATCCCCAACGATCTGGGTCGGGCAGGAACCCTTGGCCATCACTTTGTGCTTCACTTTTGACGACTCAGAAGCCTCTACGACCGTGGAGGACCGGGTGGAAGGGGCCTCCGTGAACTGAGAGGTCTATAAGCCTTAGGATATGGATAGGATATGCTCGTCGTTCAAGGGGTTGCGTTTCCCCATGTAAGAATTTTCCTTCCGGAAGGCAGGGCTTCGTTTGCCTTTCAGCGATATTCAAACGGGGGTGTTTCAATGGTTGGATTTAACGCCCTCGCAGCTTCATCCTAATATGATCGCGTTCATGCGGGTGTTCGAGCTCGTGTGCCAACATCTTTGCATTGGCGTCACGCTCCCTCTGTTTTTCTGCCTGTTTCACCTTCAGCGGCAATCTTTACATGGGTGGCACAACTGAGTGTCTCTAAAGCAGCTGAGGAAGTTGTTCATAGCGTACCTGGATTCAGTCTGTTCTTTTAAAGATAGGTATTTCCTCGTGCAACCCATGTCACACATTGTTGTTGACTCTTTATTCGACTGTGTGATTAAGCACGTGGATGGGGGGAAATAGAGGAGTTGTCAGCGAAGTTTCCCCTCGAGTGGCGGGCTCATTTCAACAAGAGAACAAACTATTACATCATGAAGCCCAATGAGCTGGACGACGAGGATAAGCTTGCCTACAAGAAGATCGTGGCTTTTGTCGACAGCTTCACTCCCGCCAAGTTAGTGAACAAAGATAGGAGTTTCATTCGCGACGAGAATATGGAGGTTTCCTTTTAAGCCTGGTTGATTAATACCAAGGCGTTCCTCGAATGCGGTTCGGCAGGGAGGCCTTGAGGCTCTTAGGTAGCGAGCGTGTTCCTAACTTGTGCATCCGCTTATTTTTCCTAGTTATATTAACTTGTTATTTTCTTTGTTATATGCCAAATGTCGAGCCTTCACGAGCGCATGATAAAGATCGCCACAAACAGAGGCGCCAAAAGGCTCCCAAGGGCCGCATCTCCTAGATTCAGCAGATGTTGAAGTTCGACCAGCACTCGGGAGGTTCTTCCTCCTCTCCCCAAGGGAGTCAGATAGATGATGTACAAGTGAGATATAATTTGACTGTTGAGGCACCGGCAGTATGGATTGTTAACATGAAGTGGAGCAACTACGAGGTAAAGAGATTTCCTTGGTAAAGGTAGTTTTGGGAGGACTAGCTAGAGAGAGTTGGACTTGGGAGCGTGAGGATCAGACGAGGGAGTCGTATCCGACTCTGTTTCCTTGAGGTAATTTTCGAGGGCGAAAATTCTTTTAAGTGGGGGAGAGTTGTAACACCCCAAATTCTTGGAATATTTATTTAATTCATTTAAATATGAATATTCATATTTTTGGTGATTTGCGGTGGTTGGTATGAAGTATTGAGAATTATAGATTTTTGGT